TAAGTTGTGCTAGGTCCGTGCCCAGGATCTGAACCTGTGAACCTTGGGCCACCAAAGCAGAGTGTGCCAACTCAACCACTATGCCACTGGGCCGGCCCCTTGGGTCTCGTTTTTTAATCCAGCCAGCCACTCTTGGTCTTTCAATTGGAAAATTCAATCCACTTACATTTAGAGTGATTATTGTTATACGAGGGCTTAATACTGCCATTTTATCTCTTGTTTTCTGGTTATTCTATGTTTCCTTGTTTCTCTTCCCTCGTATTTCTGACTGCCATTTCAGTTTGGTGGTTTTCTGTGATGGTTTTCTCTTTATTTATGATTTATGTCTCTGCTCTGATTTGTTGTTTAGTTGGTTACCATGAGATTTGTATAAAAGATCTCTTAGATGAGAGAGTCCATCTTCTGATAGCCTCTTATCTCCATTATCTTAAGCAGGTTCCATCCCTTTCCTCTTCCCCTTCTAAGTTATTGTTACTACAAATTATTCTATTTGTTTTGTGAGTTTGTGATTAAAAGGAAATGTTTATAGTTATTTTTGATGCTTTCCTTACTTTTATCTTTTATGTTATAATTAAGTATTTGCTAACCTGTTCTGATAGATAGCTGCAATTTTCTGATTTTTGTCTATTTATTCCTTGCTCAAGGCTCTGTAAATCTTTACCTTTTTGTTTCAGGTATGAGGGCACCCTTGATCATTTCTTGTAATGGAGGCAGGTGGTGATGAACTCCCTCAGCTTTACTTTATCTGAAAGTTTTTATTTCTCCATCATATGTAAAGGATAGTTTCACTGGATAGAGTATTCTTGGCTGGAAGTTTAATTTATAAAATAGGGAGTGAATACAGGGCAAGCATATTTCCTAAGAAGGAAATTTGGTGACATTCTGGATTAGTGCAAGTGTTGGGCTGCATAGCATGGCTTTTACCCTCATAGTTAAATTTCAATACATATTTAACTAAAATGGCAATAATAACTAGAAGAAAAGGTAGTTGATATAGTACAAGATATCAGTGATTGAGAAAATAATGTCCTCCTACCGTCACTCTCGTTTCTTACAGGTTTTTGATTTTTCCATTGGTTACTGTCATTATTCTAAATAATAGACCAGGAGTTCTTGATTTATGGACTCCCTCATTTGGAAGATGAAGAATTTAATTCATCTACACACACTAACTTCACCTTCCTTTCTATGTCTCCTCTGAATTTGTTGGTTAAATTGCTATTTTCAATTTTATTGATGATCTTTTAAATGTTAACTAACTCACTGAAACTTCTACTTCTAGCTCTATCTGTTTTAGACACTCTCTCTTGATTAATAATTATTCAGAAGTAAACTACTACTTGTATGTTACTTTCCATTTTTTCTCCTCCTGATTCACTTTCCATCCTCCATCAGTTTCATTTTTGTATATTATTAAGGTTTTGACATTGATATTCTGTTCTGTAATTACAATTATGTCTTAAGTGCATTGTCTATACATTTATTCTAGATATTAAAATGAATAAATAAAATTTATGACATCATGATAAGTAAATATAGTTTACTGCAGAACTAACTAGTGTGATTAGATCCATGCGGAAAATAAACGTAATTTTATATCATCAAACTAGTGATACTTGTAGGAGAATGTTCCAAGTGTTAAGGCCAAGGGGATTCTCTTTTTCTTAATATGCCATCAATTGCTCAAGTTAATGTCATAATTTAGTGTGCTTTGCTTTCAACTTGTCATGACTTTCTTGTGCTTTTTCATTTTTTTAATTAATTTATTTATTTTTTATTTTTTGGGGGTGGGGGGAGGGCACAGAGGGGGAAGTGGTGTACCCACAACATGACTAACAAAAATGTGCTTTTTCATTTTTACTGGAGCTTATATTTCTTTTCTTTTTCCTTTTTGAGAAAAGAAGCTGTACATCTCAGCTGGTACTTGAATATTTCAGCTTCTGCTTCAATCATAATATTTGTTGAATAAAATTTTATTTCTTTTGAAGAAAATTCTCTTGGGACCCTCTAACTGCTGGTTCTAATTTATGTCAAGCTTATATTTCTTTCATTGTGCCCTGTAGTAGTTTCCTGGTTTCTTAGAGTCCATGACTTCTTATTTCCTAGATTCCTTTTTCATTCATTGAATGACATCCTCAACTAATTTTTTTCATGAAGAGTGTGTGGTGGGTAAATTTTACAGAATTGTATGTATTATAATATCTCCCTTCACTCTTCATTGATAGTTTTCCTGGGTATGGAATTCCAGTTTCAATAGCATTTTCCTTCAGAACATTAACAGCATTGCTCCATTGTCTTCCAGGATCTAGTCAATCTTAAATCAACATATTTTTTAGTTCTGGAGAATTTCTCTCCTAGTTTGTCATTGATTATTTTGTCCCTGCGATGTTCTCTTTTCTTTTTCACCTGGAACACTTATGAGGTAGATGTTGATCTCCCGGATTATTCCTCTATGTTTCTTACTTTTAAAAAATTTCACATTTCTATTTCTTTGCACTTTTGCAAAAAAATTTTAGTAGCTTTCTCTAATCAGTTCTTTTTAACCCTTTGTATTTGTTTTTATTTAGACCATCTTATTTTTAATTTCTAATATTTATTTTTAAAATTATCTTATTGCTCCTATTTAGTAGTATCCTATTCTTGTTTTTTAATTTCTTTGAACATATTTTAATTATTAACCTTAAAATCTCTCTTTCCTCTGATGTAACATATTCTTTGGTCCTTCCATTCTGTACTACTGGTTTCCTCAAACATCTGCTGATTGTTGGTTATCTTTTCATAATCTGAATTAAGTTCTGAGATGTGTAGTACAAATGGTTGGTGTGGGTTTCCTCTGCTGTTTTCCTGACATACCTTGTTTGCCTCTAAATGGGACAGCTGCATGGAAGCTTTGGTTTGTGGGTGGCAGGTCCATAGCAGGCTTCACATTGGGGTTCTTGAGGTGAGGGGAAGGGACCTTGCCTTTTCCCAAATGCCAAAATAAGACAGCTTTACTCTGCAACGCCAACACTTGCACTTGAGGACCTGGGCTTTGCCCAGAGGTATTTTCTGTGTTTAGAAAGGGCTTTCTGATTTTATGTTGAGGGTACATACCGTCCCTGCCAATCTCTCTGTCCACATGGGCATGGGGAATAAGGAAGATTTTTTTTTGGTGCAGTTGTTGCATATATGACTTATTGGCATCATCCTGATTCCAGTAAAGAAATCCCTTCATCTAGTCTTCCCTCGCCAATTCTGCAGCCTATTCTTATGCCCTTGACATGGATTATGAACTATGAGTTGATGGGCGTTTTGGGGGGTTACTCTTTAGCAAGTCTCATAGGTGGTCTGGCTTCTCTCTTTAGAGTATGGGGTGCTTTACTTTTGCTCTCAGCTTTAGTGCCTCAGCAGAAACAGGGACAAGAAGAATAGCCTTCTTTTAACATCTTCTTGGAGGTAAAAGCATAATGATGCTCCACCCACAGTCTGGACTCTTTCTTCAGATCAGACTCTCCCAAGGTTAGAGACTATCTTTTCCCTCTCTGTTTCTGTCCACCAATGATGCTGGTGCTAGTGAGCCAGGAGATGCGACAAGGAGACTGGACAACGGTGGTGCGAGTGCACAAAGAAGGGACCCTCGGGGTTGGGGGGAGACTTGGAGAGGAGCCAGAGCTGAGCTGAGGAGAAAGGCCTGCGGAATTTTTCTGCCCCAAGCTGAAAGCTCCGGTTGTGATACACTAATTATCCCAGAGCCAAAGCTGCTCTGTTTTTCTAGAAATAATATGGCCAAGGCAATAGACTTAGCTTTGTAAAGTGTCAAGTCTTGGGGCAAAAAGAGAAATAAAAAGACAAAGAAATAAAAAAGACCAAGCCGGCTGGTTGGAGACAGGGGAGAGTGTCCTGTGTGCTGATGCGCTCTGAAGTTCCGCTCTGAGTGCAGCTGGCTCCGCAGCTCCAGCTGCCTCCCGCGCTTATGCCTTAACTCTGAAAATGTGAAATTGTGTTCTCCCGTCAGGAGAAAACCTTCTTGACAGTTGCAAGGGCTTGGCGGGAGTGTTTGGAGCAGGGTTGTGCAGGCGCGGCGATTAGGCGGCGCTTTGCTGGCTGACAGTCTGTCACTCCCAGGGTTAATCCTGGCCGGCAGCTCGGCAGGGAGACGCTGCGCTGGACAGGGCGGAGAAGGCCCTCCGGAGAAGGCAGCCTTCTCTTCTCGCCAGCGTCTGCTCTAAAGCAGGGGTCCTGCCACTGGGGGAAGAGGCCACATTCTCCGTGGGGCTGAAATAATCGAGAAAATCCGCTCACGTTCCGGTAGAGAAATGGCAGTAGTTTTTTTCATTTCAGCACTCAGAATTCTCACATGTGGCTGGATGACGTGGTTTCCAGATGTCCACGACATTCATATTAAGGACTGGAAATAAAATAATTGGAACTAGCATTTTTGTTGCATCCACGTAGTAGGCCCTGTCATAGAGTGCTTTCAGCACATTATTTCATTCTGTCTTTACAACCTCCTTCAGAGACGGTCTCACTGTCTCCATTTCCCACATGTGTATGCAGAAGAACCAAAATTTGAATGCAGATCTGGCTGGCTTTCCATTCACATCTGTGTTTATCAGAGTAGAGAGTACTTGTCAAGCATTGCATTAAATTCCCCATTTACTACTAATTTAGATGGTTTTAGGTAAATTAACCCCTTTGGGCTTCATATTTCTTATCTGTAAAATAGGGATAAAAATAATATCAATCGTATCAGCTTTGTGAACTGTTCTTTGGGTTAAATATATACATAAAACTCACTACATGCCTGGTACATAGTATAGATTCAATAAATACTTGTTGAATAAATGAGTGAAAAGCAATAATGGTTTTACAGAACACCCATTTCCTTACAGCAGGGTTTCTCAACTTTGGCACTATTGACATTTTGGACTGGATAATTCTTTCTTGTAGCGGCTGGCCTGTGCATTGTAGGATGTCTAGCAGCATCCCTGACCACTCCGCACTAGATGTCAGTAGCAACTCCCCCCAGTTATTTTAACCAAAAATGTCTCCAGACATTGCCAAATATTCCCCGAGGGCAAAACCGCCCCATTGAGAACCACCGCCTCAGAGGGAGCCAATTCCGCCTTGGACACCACAGAGAAGCAATCTGTAGATAGTCAATAGTTAAGATAGTCAATAGTGAATAATTGAGACTTCGTCGTTTCTGTGGCAACTACTCAACTCTGCCACTGTACCTCAACAGCAGCCATAGACAATTGATACACAAATAAGGGTTACTTGTTCCAGTAAAACTTCATTTACAAAAACAGGCTGGCGCACGGGCTGTCGTTTGCTCTTTCCCACTATAAAGCAAATGCAGCATGAGCAGCAGCAGAGTATCCTCTTTAGATATGTCACACTGTTACAGTGCCATACAACCTGGGACTGATCTAACATATAGGCAGCTTGGACTTTGTGGACATGTGGACTGTGAGAAGGGCCCCTATGAAGCCCTCTGCCTCATAGGCTAGGCATGGTGCCTGCAACATCACAATGGAAGGGTCATCTTGCAGAGAGTCAAGCATGGCTTGTTGACCAGTATCCTCTCCAGAAGAGCACAATCCTAGAAGAGGGCTAGAAGATAAAGCTGTTTTCAGTGAGTACCACCTACATGTGAATGAATTTCTCCATTCAGAGGGATTCTTGATCCTCTGTAGCCACTGAACCTAGAAAGATAAGGGAGTGAGGCAGGGGAACAGACCTGCAAAGAGGGGACAAGTATATAAAATTGTGCAGCTGGGGCCCTGAGCACAACCTTGGCTGACTTCTCAAATCTGCCTCTTAAGAACATCTCTAGTTTAGACTGAAGGGGAAATGGCACAAAACTGAACTCTCTTATTTGGCAAGGGTATTAAGTAGGCTGACCAATGGGACTTTGTTAATAAGGAACCTTGAAATCCTTCCCTAAATGGTACCCTATAACCATCATGTCCTCAGCATATGGGTTAAAGCATGTCCCTTGTTACCATGATGATACTCGACACATCTGTCTCGATAGGACACAAATATTAACCTGCCACAAACACACTCTCACATGCCACAGTCAGAATCCTGCCAAATGTGAGCAAGCAATGGAAAGTAAGGCGTCTGAGTTAGATTTGTTTGGGATCCATGGCCTTATTTCATTTAGCTCATCTCTATCTCCTGTGAAACAAGGAAACATTTAAAAATATCTCTGACGTGAGGGTATGCTTTCTTTCTGATGTTGCTGTTCTAGCTTCCTGGTGGTCTCAACATTAAGATTCTGTTCTCACCACCACAGCATGGGTTTGTTTCCCCATCAGGGAACCACACCACCCATCTAAAGTCTGTCAGTTGTCATACTGTGGTGGCTGTTTGTTGCTGTGATGCTGAAAGCTATGCCACCTGGTATTTGAAATACCAGCAGGGGTCGCCCATGGTGGACAGGTTTCAGCGGAGCTTCCAGACTAGAAAGACTAGGAAGAAGGACCTGGCCACCCACTTCCAAAAACATTGACCATGAAAACCCTGTGAATAGCAGCAGAGCATTGCCTGATATAGCACTGGAAGGTGAGAGGGTGGCCCAGAAAGACCAGGCAGGGTTCTGCTCTGCTGTAGCATGGTCTCTAGGAGTTGGAATCACCTTGATGGCACTAACAGAAAACAAACACAACTATAGCTTCCAGTGCAGATGGGGAAGTCGGTGAGGTGTAAGCAGCCATCATGGGAGGATTCAAGAAAGCTCTTTAAAGGGGCTGACTTAGCTGTTAGATCCACTTTGTCTACCTAGTCTGCTCTATCCCTTTATTTCTGCTTGCAACTTGGTTGTAAAGGATAAAGTTTTTGCAGCTACTCTGTACTCAGGAGTCTGGGTTGTTGGTGACATTATAAAGCTGCCACCAAGTCCTGGATAGCCTATCCTTGGACCTATCATTATAAGAATGAAAAATAAACATCTTTAAGAAGGTATTTTGGGAGACTGTTCTTCTACAACTGCAGTAGCTTAAAGGTGACCACAGATTTTTTTCCATGCTTGTCCTAGAGAGGTAGAATCTATTTCCCTTATCTTTGAATCTAGCCCTATGGACTGTTTTGATCAATGGAATGCAGCAATAGTGTATCTTCTAGGGCTGGGCTTGGAGAGATATGCAGCTTCGACCTGTGCTGCTTAGAACATCCCCTCCTGGAACCCCGCGATGCTGTGAGAAGCCCACACTACATGGCGAGACCACATGGGGGAAAACTGAGACACTCTGATCAACAGCCCAGTGCTTCTCTCTGCTGACAGCCAGCATTGATGTCCAGCCAAGTAAGTGAGCCTTCTAGCATGTTCCAACACAGTCAAGACTCCAGATAACAGCAGCCTTTGCTAATGCCACATTGAACCAAAGAACCATGCAGCTGAGCCTAGTCTTCCAGTTGGCACCACAAAAGCATCAGATATGTGAGTGAGTCCTCTCAGAGGTACCAACCCATCCAGTCTTCAGATAACTGCAGCCCCAGCTGACATCACATGGAACAGAAGAACCACCCAGCTAAGCCCAGTCAAGCCATAGATTCATGAGAGACAATGAATGCTTGTTGTTTTTAAGGCACACCAATATGGTGACTGAAAAAATGAATCATTCAGGGATTGAATTAAGATTGCAGTGTGAGTAGGGAAATTGGAAAACATCAGAAAAGTGTCATCTCAAGTATATATTAATAATTGAGAAGTGTGGGGGCCTAATTCTTAGCCTAATTGCATATTTTTAAATCCCCTGAACTAAGAAATGAACATGAAAACTGGCCTAGTAGTGGTAAACCTCTAGAGTTCTGGGCTAACCAACACTGAGACCATCCCATCCTACAGGTCTGCCAGCATGACCCTGGGAACACACGACACCCCACCACCCCTGAAGACAATTCCTGCTGATGACCTGATGGGTGAGAATTATCACGCACACGAGGAGATACGGTGTATGACTTGCAGTACATACAGCGAAGGAACAAAGACCACGGCCTTGAATGATAGGCAATAAAGAAAGAAGAAAAGGACTTTAAAATTTATATATTTAAAATAGTCAAAAGATGAAGAAAGAATTAAATCCATAAGGTAGTAAGGGGATATTATGAAAAAAGAGCAAGAATGGTTGAACAAAAAACGAAACTGAAATTCTAGAAATGAAAAGCAATTGGAATTTAAAAAGTCTCATTGGATGTACTAGACAGTAGACTACATATATCTCACACACACACAAAGAATTAGTGAATCTGAAGCCAGATCTGAGCACTTAAAATACAGCACAAAGAGCTAACGAGATACAAAATAAAAAGGAGTTAAAAGACACAGTGGGCTATACTGAGTAGTTCCAACACCGGTCTAACGGGGATCCAAGGAAGAGAATATAAAGGGAATGTGGTGGGTTGTACAATTCGTCTAGAAACAAATATCTGAGTCCTTGAGTTGGAAAATGATTGAGTCCCAAATAACAGCACTTGCTGCACAACTAAATTATGAGTTGAGAATATATATATTATTTAAATGTAATTGTAACTTTATTAGAACTCATTTTCATATCATATCTTTTGTAATTTCCGCTATCAACAAGGCTGGATCTTTGGTCTATCTTTCTTCATTTTCTCTGGCCCTTTCCCCCATATCTGTGTCTTTCCTCACTGTGTTTTCCTTATCAGGAATGCCCAAGTCCATCCCCAAGGCCGAGCAGAGCCCTACCACCTCCTGGAAGCCTCCTCTGACCTCCCGGGCATTGTCTCTACTTTCTCTGAAATTCTACAGCGTGAAGTCTGTTCACTTTTTTGGCTGTTAGTCCATTGGCTTTTTAATGAGCTCTTTGGGAGCTCTTTCAAGTTGAGGGCCTCACTTCATATTTCTCTGGGCTCCCCAGTGACTTAATTTGTTCTCAATAAATGTTAGTCCGCTAATTGATGGCTAAACCTCTAAAGATTTGTGAGAGTAATTTTTGGGAAGATCAAAGGGATAACAATGGGAAAGTGTGTTGAAAGCTTTTATAAGAGCCTGATGTTACCGCCCCTGCACCTCTACGAAAATAACAACAACTGCTGGGGCCGGCCCAGTGGCACAGTGGTTAAGTTCACACGTTCTGCTTCTCGGCGGCCCAGGGTTTGCCGGTTCGAATCCTGGGTACAGACATGGAACCACTTGGCAAATACCATGCTGTGGTAGGTGTCCCATGTATAAAGTAGAGGAAGATGAGCATGGATGTTGGCTCAGGACCAGTCTTCCTCAGCAAAGAGAGGAGGATTGGCAGCAGTTAGCTCAGGGCTAATCTTCCTCAAAAAAAAAAAAAAAAAACCAACTATTAATACTATTACTACTGTATTGCCATTGCTACTGCTGCTACCACCACCATAGGTACTGCTATTACCACTAATGTCTGACAAAGGCCTCAAAGTGAGACACAGAAGGCCTGAGCAGAATTTTCCAATGAAACTGTGGAGTGAGAGGATTATTGAGTGTTGGTGAGAGCAGGTAGAGGGAGAATTCTGAAAAGGCAGGAGAAAGGGAAAGGAGCAGGGCTGGAGGACAAAGAATACTGTGAGAGGGAAAGAAATGTCAACTGACATTCACTTCCTGAAGAGGTAGAATGCTGGGAATAAAGAAACGAAAATGCGACAAAGAACCACAACAATGATGTAATGCAATTTATTCTCATGAAAGGGAAGACATTTAAGGCCCTCAGTCTTAGAGAAGGTGCGGAGGCTGCTTGGCCAAGAGCAAACCTAGTGAATGGCACAGGGAAACAGGGCTGTCAAGTCTGCAAAACCACTTCCCTGAAGATGTAGCTTCATTCTTTCAGTGACCCAGATTCATTGGAATAATTGGGAACTATTTCAGAGATCATAGAGGCCAAGAGCCTTTTCAGGGTACAGCCTCGCATCAGTGAAGCTTGGATGGGAACTAGACCTTTGTGGATTTGGCAGCTTGGGCTCAGCCAAGAGCTGCATATTTTGACTCTTTTCCCCCAGCATGATGAAGATAGAGAAACACCTAGATCAGTATCACCAAAATCACCAGGTAGATTTGTCATAGCCATCAATCGTTAATCACTCAACTGGGTTCATTTCCATAACTTTTAATTTTTTACCACCTTCAAAGCAAAAGTACCTTTGATCTCAAATTTCTCTAATATCTTGGATGAAGTTCTTATTATTTTATCCCTCCCAAATCAAATCATTCTTTTCTTGCTTAATTTATTAACTGAGCTTTCCATATTGTGTGTGATGGTTCTTGATTCAAAATGTCCTGCTGAACACATCAATCTGTCTAGTTGCTGACTTTCAAGTTCCTGGCTCAATCAATCACAAGGAGCCCTAATCCTTCTTGGCTGGTCCTGAATTACATTTGATACCAGTCCAACCTTATCTTTAATAAACTCACCTAGGTAATTTGCATTTAACAAACAAATTAGGTCTTCCAATGATTATTTATAGGATACTAAAGCCATAAGTCAATCTAAAAAAGCCCCTGCTAATAGGGGACTTCTGGCTAAATGGGTAGCAGAACCTAATAAACAAATTAAAGTTAATTCCTTCTCTCAAGTTCAGTTTGTTCTTTACAACTATAAAGTTCCATCCATCATCTACAATTAACTGTTAGATTGAAGTCAGGAATGAAACTCATGCTACTCTTTTGGATGCTTTGGCATCAATTCTTTGATTATTTTGAGCATGTGATCACAAATTTGTGGTGGTTTTCTGTTCTACTTCAATGGATCAACTGTAATTGTACATGTGGAAAGGTACAGAGACCTAGGAGAGCTGGATTCTCCTTCTGGCTCTGATATATAGTACCTGTGAGTTTTTGGGTAATAAGCCACCATTCCCCCAATTTCCCCACTCTAAATTGAGAGGGGAGGGGTCCATGGATAAGCTTCAAGTGGTCTGTGAACTCTTGAAATGACGTGCAACATTTTTAACGTGTTTGTGCATTTTCTGACTTTTAGAGAGAGGTCCATAGCTTCAATCAGAACCTATTTCTAACATCAAAAGGTTAAGAAATACCAGAATAGAATATATGCCGCTCTTATCCAATTCTTATATAATATAATTTGATCATTATTTTCTGTTCCCAAGGGAGAATTCTGTTTTTCAAAAGTCAGAGTTTTATGCACACACCTGCGTTCTCTAAATTGAACGCACCTACTAATCAGGGGTGTAAGGAAGGACGGGCTTTTGATAAACTATCCTGGGATAACTGGTCATTCATATGGAAAAAAATAAATCCCTACTTCACACCATACCAAAAACCAAATTCCAGATATATTAAAAACCTAAATGCAAAAAGCCAAAATTAAAAACTTAGAAGATATGGGAGAATATTCAGCAGTGAAGTATTTCTAAAATAAGACAAAAATTATATATCATGGAGGAAAACATGGATAAATTTTACTATGCTATAGTTGCAAGCTTCTTTCTGTATGATCAAAGACTTCTAAACAAATTTTAAAAATATACCACTAACTAGAACAAGGTATTTCAAAAACTTACAACTCACAAAGCATCAACATTTTGAATGTATTAAAAATTTCTTTCTCTACATGAACAAGAAAAAGACCAAAAAATAGAAAATGGGGAAAAGATGTGAAGAGGTAATATAAGGTAGAGGCATTATGAATGGCCTCTACTAGTCACATCCCTTCAAGCTTTAACATGCCCTGCCATTTCTACAGCCCTTACTTATTCTGCTATTTATTTTAAAATTTATTCTATGCCATTTGCCATGGTTATCTATTTCATTTGGGCAACTCTTCTTGTTAAATCTTTCGAGACAAGCAGTATGTTTTAAACTTTCATATATATATCTATCAGACAGCCCCTAGCACATCACTGGATATCCAGGAGAAACTCAGTAAATATATATATTTACATTTAAACATCTCTGAAATTGAGATGCACATTACAATCTACAGCATTTGACACCATCAGCCAGGTAGCATTTAAGACATAGTTGCCTTCAACTGCACAAGCATAAACTTGGTTATCACTATTCATCACTATCATCACTTCAATTGAGTTGTGTGCATTGTTGGCACTACATTTATTGTTTGTTATTTAAATGCATTTTAAAAGATTACTCTATGATTTGACATTGATATAAAAAGTTATAGTGAAGGTTGAAGGCATGGAAACAAAGTAGTGGGACAAAAAGCAAATACTCATCATTGACAAATGGTCACAATTCCATATCTTCTTGCAAAATGAAGACTGAGTACTTTATGGGGACTCAGAAAGGAAGGGACCTACAAGCAGATGAAGCTGTGGAAAATTCTGTGCATGAGATATGTGCAAAGGGATTGCCTATCCTAGGCCAAACAATGGAACCGAAGACAAGAGGAACTGCCAAATCTCAGAAGGAAATTCAAGCAACAAGGGGCTGATGTAACTGATTCAAGCTGCCTCTTATTCAAACCAGAAAATAGTGTCAAAACTTGAAGAATGCAACTTAGCAGTTTGGAAGAAAATTCCAGACATAATAGTGGGGCACTCTTTAAGAAAGGCTGCCTCATCAGTGCAGTCGATGGCATAGATGACGACAATATTGTGTGGGCAGACACAAATGTTGACTCTCAAGTCAGACTCTGAGTATGATGAGTTTGGGAAATGCTTTAACTATTTCACTTTTTTTCTATATGCACAACAGTGATAGTTGATAAAAATCTAGGGAAATACGTCTAAAAGATCTCTTTCAATAAGCTTATAAAATAAGCACTAAGTGATTAAAGAAAAACCGTTGTGTCATAGTTGTATATAAAGGTAGGTGCATCCTATGGTTGAGGTAACAGAAGTGAGTGTTTTCAATAGACTGTGGTTTACCCTTTCATTGAAGTTGGCCTGGCCTTGCGAATAGCTTTGATGGAGAGGATGTAACAGAAGTGCTGATTCCACTAGCCTGTAAGAGACCTAGCAGCTTTAACTTTCACTGTCTTGGAACCCAGACACCATTCCATAAAGGAGCTATTCTAGACTACAGGCGAAGAGAGGCCATATGTGGGAAGAATGAGGACATTGGTAATTGCCAGCATCAAACGTCAGATGGGAGAGAGGCCTTATTGGATGCTTCACCCAAAGCTGAATGCAGCTGCCTGAGTGATCTCAACTAACACCACATGGAGCAGAGCCACCCAGCTGAGCCCAGCCAACTCACAGAATTAAGAGCAGTAATAAATCATTATTGTTTTATTAGGGTGCTTTCTTATGCAACAATAAATTACTGAAACAGAAATTTGTCTGAAAAGGGGTTGTTACCATCACAAAAACCTCAAACGTGGTATTGGCTTTGGGACAGAATATTAAGAGGAGGCTGTAAGGGCAGCAAAGAGATGGTGGAAAAGCAGCAAAAAGGCTAGATGAAGGCTAAAAAAGCGATGGACGTTCAGTGTAGGCATTGCTATTGAAGGCTGGGGAAAAAAGGGAACAACACTATGTAGTGGCAGAAGTATGAACAAGCCTGCCACCTGGGGTAGCCTGGAAAAAGAAGAATTACCAGATAAACTTGTGGATCTAGCTAAGAATATTTCCAGGCAGCCTTTTGAAAATACCAACTAGCTTCTTTTAGAAACATATAATAAAGTGTTGCAAGAGAAAATTGAGTTAAATGAACTGTTTTAGTTTTCAGGCATAATTTAGAAGAAGTATAGAGGACTCGACATTTTCTCCAGCTGGCAAAATATTTTCAAAATAAAAAATGGCATCATGGAAAAGAACAAATCTAGAGTACTTCCAGTAAAGTGTCTGTAGGGTGGAAGTTAAATCAAGAGTGTAGCTGAAAGGCTCTATGTTTAGACCTCAGGAAGATTTAAAGGGGTGCTTGGTAGACCGCTTTCAGCTAAACAAATGAGCTTCTAAATATCTTAAATCTGTGTCTCAGCATAGCTGTCCGTCTCAGAATGAATTATGGATGTGGCTTTGAGGCATAGAATAAACCCAGTAAAACTTATAGAAAACACACAGAGTTTTTAAGAAGATTGTATTAGTGAAAATATCACCAGTTTCGGCTAAAGGGGATGGAGAAGTTCATAATGGAAAGAAGATCTGGACTTCCAATTTTCTACAA